AGAAATCTATCCTGACCTTGTAGCAGACTTGTATGCTGCACAGCTAATGACAGCAAACTTCACAATGTAGGTGAACAGGGTATGCAGTCCTTAGCTCAGAACTGTAGGACTCCTCATTGTGGTGCTGTTTGGAACAGCTGCTTCTTGTCTTCATCTATGCTGTCAAAATGGGGTTATCAAAGACTGTTTTTACACACACACTGAAGTGTCTGTGCTGGGTCTGACTGGGCTAGAGCAGTAGACACAGCCAGATAAACAAAACAGACCAAGGGGTCAGTGTTGATGCCAAACAGCATGATGTTCAGCAATAAAAACTGCATTAGAAGAAAAAGGGGGTGTCGACTTGGGGTATCTAAGGTGACTTGCTTGCTGGCTGGGCACTGATCTGCCTTGGAGCTGCTGTGTTGACCTTTGCATCATTTATTTTTTTGCCCTGTGTCACTTATTAAATGGTCTTTGTCTTGACACATGAGTTTTGGTACTTGTTCTTCCCATTCTCTCCTGACCCTTTGTGGAGAGAGAGGAAGTAGCTGCAAGCTTAGGTTACATTTTGATTAATTTTTAAGAAATATTCTGAAAGAAAACTAATCAGAAGTGGTTACTATCACAGATCTAATCACTTTTCCACTACAAGGTGAATTTATTTGATCTCAGTTTCTCTAATATAATGAATACTATACCATATGTTTCCTTTCTTTCTATAATGCAAAGGAGAGCATAATACTTTTTCTTACAAAACAAGAAATGCTTTGTGCCTGTTTGTATGGGAACTGCTGAGTCACGGCCTGAACCTCTGATTAATCACCTGAGGTGAGCCTTGAGTCAGCCAGAGGAGCACAGGTGAAGGCAATTCACCTGTGCTGCCTTAAGGGGTGGAGCCAGGCTCCACCCCTCCTGGACCTATTTAAGAGCTGGCTACCAGAGGGGAAGGATCTCTTCTGGAGATCCTCCTCTTTTGGTATCTTCTAGTGAGCTCAACCCAAGGGTAAGCTCTTCTACTTATTCTCTTTTGTGATCCTTGTTTGCTTTTGCCTTACTCTTTTGATTATATTGCAATTATAACATCTTGGTTATACACTGTTACAGACATAATGCTAGAAGACAAGATGATCCTGTAAACAATAAAGGATTTGTACTCACCACAGTATGATTTTGAGGCATCTACCTTAAGCATTGTGAGGTATTCTCTATGAGACACATGCTCACCTCTGCCTTTGTACTCGGGCACAGTTACAGGACTTGTATTCAGGTCTGTAGAAATATCAGATATTAAATATTCTACTACCTAATGCACGGGAGTTGGGGAGAAAAATATGCTTAATAGTTTTAGTCCTTTCATTTATCGCTACTCTTCTGTGATAAGAGCTGAGAATTAACTCAATGTTTACTAGACACGTTATGTAAGAGAACAGTGCAAAACATTGTATGCAAAACAAGATTTGTAGTGTAGGCGTTTGTGATACAATATCACACAATTTCCAGTATCAGAGCTACACAGAAAATTAATGAATGCTGATTAATTTTTTTTTTTTTTTTCTAACATCATTCTCCAAACACCAGTTTTGGCTTCCCAAGTAAATAATAACAGCTGTGAGTCTATCTGGGAGCCCAGTTGGCTTGGATGAGATTGTTAGATGCCAAAATGAAGGGTATGTTTTGTTCCCAGTGATCTTGGGTCTTTTCTTTGCTCTTTGCCAGTTGCTAATAGGGAAAAAGCTGAAAATGTGGAATGATTTTGGATCTAATACAATGCTATGTTTCAATCATGTTTTTCTAGTAAGAAGAGAGACAATTTCTCCTCTCTGCCCTAAGATCTCTGATAAGTTATTCTCTTAAAATGCAGGGGCAGAGTTTCATTGTAAACAGTTTCACGGGAAAAGAAGCATTTCAGTGGAATTCCTCTGAAAAAAGGATGTTGCAATATATTTACTCAAAATGTGCTTCAAATTAAGGTTGTATCAATATTAATCAATATGACTAAGTCAACTTCGGTAGTTCACTCACACTGTCTCCCAAAAGGTCGATTAGATTCATCTAGCCAAGTATCCAACACAGCTGGCTCCTTAGAGCCGTAGTCTTTCCTTCTGGTTGAGCTACAGGAGGATATGATGTGGAATGAAAATAAAGGTAGTTAGTATTGGAAATTTCTGTGAAATTGAACTTCCATTTCTTCAGTCACTCATGGATTTCCCTCTGATCGCATTCTGAGAGAGTGAATAAGTTGATCAAATTACATAGCTGAATCTCAAGCAGTGAAAAAAACGAAGTGAAAATCAGCATATTGAAAATAAGGTACCAGAACTGAGTCTGTTCTTCCATGCAGGATTTCCAATTCCTTGAAACTTCAGATGCCGAATTATGCTCTGACTTCTAAGTACAGTTATTTGCTTGTTTCTTTCAATGACAAGACTAGAGTGAGCTGCTTCCCAATGCGATCCTTGATCCTGTCCTACTGTCTTATTTATATACGGTGAACTGGAAGGGGAAATTAATGGCTGATAAGTAAACCACTCATGAAAAAAGGGCTACTTTTAACATGTCTCTTTTCCCTGTTTAACACACCATTCCACAATCCATTGTAGTTGTGAAGCTGAAGCAGTAATACTGGAGCAGTAACTGATAGGGCTTTTCAAAGCAATGTAAGTCTAAACATATGACTTTTTTTTTTCCTGTCATGATGATCTGGGTACCAGTGCTTGTGAGGCTGCTTAACCTTTCTGAAACAGTCCTTGAGGGCTGTGAGCTATTTAATAAGATGTTAGTGTGAAAGTTACAAGTGCAAATTGCTTCATCATTTCTTATCCCAGTAGAAGCAGCCAGCATAAACTATCCCCTGATCTGAGCGTTTGGAAATCACATTAAATGTTCCACATAATTATCAAAAATTTCCTAGGTGTCTGTTCCCTTACTGTACTTCTACCCACATTTCTCATACACAACTTTCTTTTTTAGAAAAAAAGAAAAAGAGAAAAGACATCTCAGTAGTTTGCTTTCCATATCTTTAGTAAAAAAGATGTTAATATTGTTGACATTGATTTCTCTACTAAGCACGTTTTTGGACAAATATTATGGTTGAATAGATATTGTTCCACCCTGAATTTACAGAAATAAATAATAACCCCATGAGATGTTTTTAACGCCTTAATTTTCTGTTGCTTGATACAATATTTTGCCTTTGTTTAGTTTTGGCAGCTTCTCTGTAGGTTTTGTTTTTCCTACTGTTTGATACAATTATTGAAATGTCTCTAAGACTGCATATTTCAAACTACCAGCAACATCCTGGCACCAAGTAAAAGATGGAGAAAGAAGCTAAGCTAGTTCCTTTCTGCTTCTACTAACTTGAAGCTATACAATCCCCACAAGCTCACCAGACATATGAGTGGACACCCAGAAAACATATGAGTATGTCACTAGTTAGCTCATTGTCATGACAACATATTTTTATTAAAAATGTAGAAGCTCTTTTTAATCAACTAGTCTTAATCAACTGCTCCCTCTTTTGACATCTCTAAACAATTTGAGCATGGCTTTCAGCACTAAGAAGTTGTTCTCCACTGATCTGAGCCTTGTCTACATTTAGCAATAGCAGAATGAATATCTGGAGTGAAGACAAAGCATGCTTGTAAAAGGATTTTGCATGGAACATGAAAAATGAAGTTCCCCATCATTCTAGGTATTCCACTAGCTCAAGCAATTTTTTCAACTTTTATTCATAACTCCCATTAGCTTTTTATGTCAAGACTTTGGCTCTAATTAGAGAACCTGCCTTTACTTCATATACCCACATGACATTTTTTTGTTTTTCCATTACTGTGGTCTCATCCCCCACAGGACTGCTACTTTCAGAAGCCTGAGCTGTTCTTAGCTGCTACTGTTTTGTTATAGGCTTGTTTGGGTTAACAACCACTTATTGCTAATATAAATCTAGCTTGTGGTGTAGCTTCATTGCTGAGCACCTGGCTTGGAACAAGGGTTTTATATGCTAGACCACAAGCAGCTGTCTTGGTTTAAATAGATGTTTTACATGCTAATTCACAGATCCTGAAATTTGCTTTACCATATTTGCTAAACTATAATGCAAGTGGTTAGAACTGTGGATGTAGTTTGTCTCTAAATCTAGAAACAGTCTTTCATTTTAATGGTGTAATTTTCAATAATGTCTATTTATGAAAACCAACTAAACAAACACTGGTGTTCTATGATCAGACATCCCACTTCCATTGATCTTCATGATCTGGTCAGAATCCATTTTTTATACACAAGTTGGAGAGAAGCCTGATTTCTTTTTGCACAGTTTACTTTTCTTCCACCACTCAGAATATGATTTGAGAATGAGACAGCATTTCCTATTTTCAGAGCAAATTTATTTAAACAAATGCAGACATTTTCTGCTGCTTAATTCCTTAATAAATGATTTGGCTTTATTACTGCTATCTAGTAAAGGATGTGCAATGACCAACACAAATACTACTCTTTAATGTGATTTATTTTGTATATGCTTAGATTTTTTTCACCTAGATTTTCTTTTTAGCTAATTCAAATGAGTAGTTCTATAAATTCTGCCATCACCAACACAACCATAACAATTAAAACCTTTATTTGAGAACACTGGAGGGCTGCGAAAGACTTTCATATTTTTTTCTAGGTTACACAGTACTGAAAGAATATTTAATTTCAAACAGCAAATCCTACAGGAGGAGCAAAGTAGTCATATGGTTTTAAAAGTAATCTGTAAATTGAATTTTGAGGAAGCAGGAAGATCACTGTTTTTCTAGCCTTCAATGCGGACAGCTGGAGAGGGTGACTGGTGTAAGGGAAGTGTTAGGTCACAGCTTGAACTGGTGATTGAGCAACTGGTGAAGGGGTGTGGATGGCCCAGGAGCACAGGTAAATTGTTTGCACCTGTGCTCCTCAGATGACCAGAAGGGATGGACACAGGGTGGAATCACACTGGGCTCACATACTCCTCTCACTAAGGAGAGCGTATTTCTTGAGCCTAAGCAGCTCCCTGAGAGGGGATGCTGCAGGCCTTGTGAGGACTTTTAACCAGGTGGGTGTGTTTTTCTGTATACGATTGGTCTGTGAATACTTTACGTGGTATCACTAAGAAATTACCAGAAATAGTTCAGCTTCTTCATAAGCAGAACAGCTGATAAGACTCAAATTCTGAGAGCATTTTTGAGCAACAGAACCAGCTAGCATAACTTTATAACTTGACAGAGTATAGCATTGCTGGTCAAACTTCTCTTCCATGGGGAAATGACTGGCTCTGTGAATAAAGAAAAAACAGTGAATTTATCTTATGCTGACTTTGGCAGGGCTTTCAAAAATCCTCTGGTATGGTAACCTTATAGACAAGCTGCAGGGAGAGTGTGTAGATGGATGTATGTTAAGACTGATGAAAAATTAACTGGGTTAGAAGGCTCAAAATATAGTTTTTGGCTTGCAGCCCAGTTGTGGCTTGTGACAAATTCCTTCCCCCAGAATTCTGGAGTAGGCAAAGCGGATCTCCACTTATGACCTGAATGATGAGATGTATACAGTGAGCTTGCAGGTTATACCAAATTGAAGGGAGCAGGCAATATGCTGGCAGAAGCATCTGCCTGTCAGAGGAACTTTGTCAGTCTTAAGGAACAGGCTAGGAGAAATCATGGGAAGGTCAGCAGTGATAAAAGGGAATTCAAACTTGTGGGATGAAATAATTGCATGTGGCAGTAAAGGCTGGGCTCTGGCTGATGCAGCAGCCCTAGAGAAACTACCCTATGATTCTGGTTGAGAACAAGTTGGGTGAGGTTACAGTACCCCTGTGTTACTGATATAAATGCATCAGCAAGAGTCTATTGAAAGGTCAAGAGAATGATTATTCCCTTCCAGTAAGCATCTCAGAGTGAGTTTGACCTATCATGTCTTTGTCTGGACCCTCTCACTTTCCAGTGTGAAAGAAAGATCAAGAAACTGGAGGACATCCAGCAGAAAGGCTCTGAGATGGTTAGGGGGCTTTAGTATAAAATATGAGGAGGTACTAGAGAAAGTGGCTTAGTTCAGCATGGAAAAGAAGAGATTAACAATGAAGGAAAAAAGCTCTGTAGGCCCCTTTTGTGTGTAAAAGTAGGCTATAAAAGACTTACTCAAGCTTCTCTGCAAGGTCTATACAATGAGAAACAAAAGGAATAAGCTGCAGCAGGGGAAATGTTGACTGTTTAAAATAAATATCAAAGCTAGAGTGGTTAAGCTCTGAGATGTACTGACCAAAGGTGTTTTGAAATCCATCCTTGAAGGCTTCAGACGTTGACAAGACAAGGCCTTGAGCAACCTTGTACAACACTAAAATGGATCCTGTAAGAGGTAGGCTAGGGAAGTGGGAACTGTTTGGTCTCCTGAAATCCCTTCTAAGCTAAGTTATCCTGTAAATCTATGATCAGTTTAAGCAGAGACGACTTCTGTTTTATCCCAGGAGAATAATAAATGGCTACACACAGTCAAACTGATAAGGTCAATGAAAGCAATAAGTGCCTTCTCAGAACTACTGAAAATGGATTCAACACTGCCTTCAGCTAAGGTATGACTTAACTACTTGATGCCAATCATTGACAAGTGACGTGTTTTGGCAGTGTTGATTTATCAGTTAAATATATCAGTCACAGAAGTGATACTTGTTCAGTTTGAGTGATGCTTGCCTGAGCCATCCCTTTAGGCATGCCTTACTACTAACCCACATACTATGCTTGTAGTTAGTCTATCTCAGACTTAAGCAGTTTTGTGCATGGGTTATGTGCACAAAATGTTCAAAATGGGCTGTTTGTGTATTTCCATATCTTGTGAACCCTCCATCTTCTGTAAATTTTAACAAGACAGAGAAAAGAGAGGAGAGCTGGAATGGTATCTCAGTTCATTTAACTGAAAGAGGACTGGTAGGCTATTCCCACCGTCAAAAATACAGCATCCTGGAATCCATTTCTATGCACTTGTATAACTTCACAAATTTTTTTTTTTTTTTTGAACAGTTTCTTTTATATCTACTCTATTTCTTCTTCTTCCCTTTGACACATGAATGTTTTGCCACTTTGTTGGCTGCTTTTTTTTTTTTTTTTTTTTTAACTATTGACTGTTTTTATTTTGCTCTTCTGCAGAAATCTACTTTTACTCACCTATTATTATTGCTTGCTTTATTGCTGGTAACAGGAACTTGCCAATCAAAATATCTTGAGAGACTACAGAGATTTGCTGTATGTTAATTCATAAGCAAAGTACCTATTTTAATCTAGCTTTCTAAGTCTTTTATGGTGAGACTGCCATTAAGGCAAATATTAGGTTTTCTTTCCTTACATACACAATGCAACGTGGATGAAAAACTACAAGACAAGAACTTAAAAGCAGATATCTTACTAGCATAGGCTCACTCTACTCAAAAGCAGTGTCTTTCATAAATACCCAGAGTTTAAGCAAAAACTCTACTGTCAGTGTAGAATTCAGACTCAGGATAATATTTCACCATATGTGACAGGTGAAGGCTAGGCTTTTGTAGATTCTGTAATAGAAACTTCTGTACTGCAAAGTATCTAACTCCATAAATATTATCAGCGGCTTATCAACAGTGATAACACAATCTTACTGAATATATTTCCAGTTATGCTTTACTTTAAAAAGAGTTCTGCTGCAATCTTTCGCTGTCATCTAGTGTCCAAAGAAACTTTCTGCACTGTTGGGTGTTTACACAGAAGAATGAAATGCTATTTTTTCCTAATCTAATTTTTCCCAAACACAAGCAACAAAACAAAAAAAAAAATCAAACTACCAATAATCCCTGGACTAATTGCTGAAGTTATATCTAAAATTTGAATATTTTCTTCTCTCTCCATAGTTAATCAGATATGAACTTATCAGCTAAACATTGGCCAGTGAGGAAATAAGAAATGGAGAAGAAACCCACAGCTTTGAAAAATGGCAGTATTGCAAATGATGGTTGAAGGAAAGGATACTTACTGCAAAGGTCCCATTTGTATCTGAGCTTGAAGGGAAATGGAAGAATGTGGGCTAGAAAAAGGCACCATCGAAGTATCTCAGTACAATCAAGCAGGAGAGATACGTAAATCTAGTGGGGAAAAATATTAAGGCGTTATTAAAAATCAAACAAAATTTAACAACAAAGAACTGAAAGCTCATGTAAAACTCTTATTTTACTTAAATGTGTACTTGCCACAATCATGTGATCAAACTCAGGTTTCATTTCACAACACTCACATAGCACACAAGATATTCTGAGAAAAGTGTAGGGTTGTGCTTACTTGTCCATAAGGAAACAGGATTAAAATAAGCTTCGATACCCTGAGATGTCGTTAATGTATTTATCTCCTTTGGAATTAGCCTCTAGTTATGGCACCAGACTGTGAAATGACAGACGTAACTCAGGTCATTCAAAGCCAAGATATCTATTCTTGAATGTAAGGTTGCTGCCAAATGCATATTGTCTATTTACTTTGTAAATATAGCAAAATATATTGTAGTTAAATAACCTCTAGTGACATAAGGGTAATTAATTAGCAAAAAACATATTAATAGAAGGCAGATGGAAAAAAAAAAAGTAAGGATTTGTCTTTTTTTAAAAAATACCTTTTATGTATGCAAATATATAACTCAGATATGTAATCAATCTTAATTGTGCCATTTTATAATCTTGTAAGGATATAAAGTTGTTAAACTAAACTTTTGATGTCTACAAATCAGATTCAAGTTGCTTCAGAATGCAAAATAAATAAATCAGCATCTTACATTTGATCTAAACTAGAGTGGATAAATGTTGCAATGACTTAAATGTTTATGATGAGCAGGTCCATATTCATCTGCTCGTCCTCATAACATGGCTGCAATATTCTCAGTTGAAGCGATTTCAGTGTTCATAAAATTCAAAAGTTAAAAAAAATAAGCCTCTTAAGAACATACTTTAAAGTATTTATTTGGAAGTTAGTGCAAGCAAAAATAAACTTGCTGTTCTCAGATAAGGCAGATGCAGATTTTCAGCAGGTAAGGGAAATAAAAGCTTTAACCTGCTCAACAGCACTTTTCTCAACCTTTAAGCACTCTTCCTGAATTTATCAAGATGTAAACAACCAGCAGTGTTTATAGATTTCTGGCTAATGAATAAGATGAATATAAAAGACTAAAAGTCTCACCATGCCCTTCAGAGAGCTCCATATGGCAAATGCAAACAACATTTGGAAACCGACAAAATCACACATCCGTGTGCCTTATTTATTATCCTGTCTATTGCCTTACCAAGTAACTAGTGAAATTCAAATAGCTTGGAGTTCTGAAAGTGTTTTAATGCATTTTCTATAAAGAAAACAAGTAATTCTATAAATCTGAATAGCAGTTTATTTGCTCTAAAATACCATGCCAGAGATGTCTATCCCATATAAAATACTGCTTTAAAAAAAAGAAATTGTTCAAAGATTTTTTTCATTATAAAATAGTTATTTTTGATCTTTCAATATAGTAATTTTGAAGTAGAACATAACCCTGGAACTGTGCAATACAACCTTAGTATTTTGTGAAATTATGTCTCTGTTTATCTAGATACATCTATCTATGTACTGATAGTAAAACATTTTGAGGTAATGCTATATTAGACCTCTGAACTTTTTGGTTTTTTTGTTAGAATATTAGAAATATTCAAGGATATGCCCTTTTGCATATAGTAAATGACTTTCAGCCAACTTTGTACTCACTGGACTGTAAAAGAAACAAAAGATAAAAGTCTTTCCTGAAATGCTGCCTGAGCAGCATTCTACATGCTAGACACAACTCAGTAGTAATTCCTAATATTTAACTTCAGTGAAAAATACTAAAACAGAAAATTAATTCTTGCTAGATTAGATCGTGGAAAAAAACAACTAAGAAATACAAAATACACGTAGGGCTAACATGCAGGTTGTTAGACCACTTTGTTGGTTTTAACATATACATTCCTTTGTCTGCTCTGGGATTGCTGTCCTACTCTATTTCCTAAGAATATACATATAATTTAAAAAATTCAAAAAAGGAGGTGCAAAAACTTACAAAACCATGCATAGAGAGAGGACTGGTTCCCAAATATACTTCACAATTTGTACGTTTCAAGCTCTCCAGCTTTCAGAGCAAAACCTTTCTTTCAGCTAGAAAAAAAAAATGTGAAGACTAATGATGTCCCCTAGTGTTGCTTTTTCAGAACTACAGTACAGTGTTGCCACAAGTAAACCACAGCATCCATGAAATAGGTAATTCTAGAATGTATTATTCAAGTGAGAGGCTAATGTACTTCATACTGTTGCTGGCTGTGCATCCTATAGACCGTCTGTAGGGAAAGGACTGAGCAGCAGTGCTTTCTAAGACAAACTTCATGCAAGGATAATGCTGTTACTGTGCCTACACAAATACTCCTGTTGCATATTGGCTTCAGCAAGTATAAGCCTGGACAGAATAAACTTAGAAACATAGACATGGTTAGAACAAGATGTAAATCAATTGCTCATTTGGGTTTGAGAAAGAACACAACACTTTTCTTTGGTAACACCACAGGTGTACCAAGAATCACTGGCCTAAGCCCTGTAGCTCAGACCTTGCTGCTAGAGCTATGCATGTATTTGATAAGTGGGATCGATTTATTTCTGCTAAATATCAAAAATACATATTGCTTCAGATAAATAAGAAAAAATGTCTGTACGGACAAACTGCCACAGCAGGATGGCTTAAAAACATGAACATCCCCTGGTGCATCTCATGAGAGGACTCCAGAGGGCTTCATAAATACAGCTAGAGAGTAATGACTAAATAATTTCACCAGGTTCTTCCAGCATTTGGTGTGGTCATCTGACACTGAGGAGTGCAAAGTCTTTCACACTAATTCCACTTACGGATCTGGCTTCCTCTCACTTGTGTCTCACTTTTCTTCTTCTGTCTTTCTAATTATGTTAAGCACACTGCTGAGCTTACTCCTTAGATCTGCAAGAGTGTTCTGTGATTTCCTTTAATTGCCTCCATTTAATTGCTACTTCCTGTGTCAACACAGATGTACTTGTTTTTTTTGGAGTGTGCCTGAGAAATACTCTAACCACTCTATACTGCAATTGGAGATTATTTTTATTGTAATGCTATCATTAGGAAAAAAGTAACCGTAAAGCTTACGGTTAAAGGTTCTCCCCCTCTGTCTTTCAAAAATACTAAGCAAGCTGGGAAAAACAAACAGACAAACCTTCTTCTGCAGACAAATCTAGTTTAACTAATTCATGAATTTAAACTTATGGCTGTTTAGTGACCACCAGCAATGTTTGTCTCACATTCAGAGTGGGTGTACTTTGGTCAGATAAGAGGATGTATGTAAACCTATTGCATCCTTTCACCTAAATTTCCAAAGGTAAAATTAATGAGCAGAACTGATCTGAAAAGGTAAGTTCAAAGATAAACGTGGATGAAACGGGGTGTTCTTCCAGAGGGTTTATAAAGCAGAACAGAATCCCCAACATCATAATCTAGTGAAAGCTAGCACTAAGAGCCTATCCAGATTCAATACTTATATGAAAGAAGGAACTAAAAAATTAAACAGCTGCAACAACAAAGATAACCAGTATCATGTCAGCTCAAAAGGAAAGGGAAATAGATAACAGCAAAGTGACCTGGAAGTAACAAAACATCAGAAAGTGGAAAGCTGAAGTGCATAGCCATTCGAGGCAGATGTCAATTACACTTTTGTTCCCCAAATCCTACAGCTAACACTCAGCTTACAACAAGCTGCTGAACATCTAATGACATAAAAGTTCTCTACTAGACCCTTGCTATGGATTAATAATTTCGGTGAGTAACTCCAGGTATCTTTACCTGGAAAAAGCAGGAAAACTTCAGAAGACTAAAATGTAGAGTTCTAAGGCTAAGGCAATGTTTGAAATGACAAATGGATAAAACTAGTTAATCTATAGTTTGATGTGCCACCTACACCACAGTTTTCATCAAAATGCTAACAGCTCAATTCAGTGAAGACATCAGAATCAAACAACACCACTGATCCTTCTCTGAATGGTTCCATGAAAATGGAGCCATACCAGTAAGACTTCATTGACTCAGGTTATGTATTAGATGAAACGACAGGCTACTTGCAGAAACTTGTACCTTCACAGTTAAATCATGAACATGCAAAACACTATGCACAAATCTCATTTTGCATGTATGCATAAAAAGAGCAAAAACCTAAACCAGTCTTCAAGACAAGAATCCTATTCACAATTTTGATGGTGGTTAGATTACACTTTTAACATATTTTTCTTATTCTCCTACAGAGCAAATTCCAAAGCTGCAAAGCTCTGAAAGAGGATTCTGCCAGAACCCACGCCTGATCTCATCAATGAATATAAAAAACCTCCTCAGAATGAGTAATGAATGCAAGTGCACTCGGAACAGTCAGATTTTTTTAAAGTGATTTAAAACTTAGCTTAAATTAGTGTACTCCTACAGAATAATTTAAATGCGTAATTAAGAACGTTTGATAGGTACAGCCTCTTTTGGAGATGCAGAGAATAATCTTTCTACTTTATTCCATTAACTGAGGTCAATGACTAATTCACTGAATTGAGACTCTGAAAGCTAGAAGAAAATGATTGTTTTGTTTCCACTTCATTCAGGAATAAAAATGAAAGAAAAAAAAAAAGAAAGCACTGAATGCTATAGCTTGCCAGGGCAAGGAAGAAAAGTAAATTCAATATGTCAATAAATAGTATTTTCTTTTCACAATCCATCTTCATATAGGCACAAAGTGAGTAGTATATATTTAGTTTAAGGATTCTATTAACTTAAATATAATTAATAAAATGTATTAAAGGAAGAGTTTCTGCATCTTAAATTTCAAGTTTATGTTAATAGAAAGCTTGTGGGTGGAGGGAGTTTGTAGGCTAATATAAAAGGGGATATGATTATTTTTTTTAACAAAAAAGAAAGGAAAAAACACAAGTTCCTAAATTGCTGACTTAGATCATATGTAATTATACTTTTTCTAGCTTTTGAAAAGATAGACTACACATTAAAATCTAAATATGGAAGGAGTGGACATAGTCCAGAAGTGTACAAGTCTGTCTCAGGGCAGTCTCTGATGAAGGATCTTGCTGCAGGTAGTGTGCTGGGAGCTGGGGTGACTTATGGCCTGGGTTTTCAGATGGGTACACCCCAAAATTCTGTCTCAGGTCAATTCTGCCTCTTGAATCTCCTTTTCTGTGCTGTTCCAGGGGATACAGTGAGAAGTAAAGCTCACTGCAGGGGCTGTGATGAGCTGCAGCCTCATAGGTAAGCCTACACCCCTTAGCTTACGAATTATTTCTCTGTTGTTACTGATCCAGGACAGTAACTGACACAAATCATGTACGGATGTGAACAGGAAGACCATTAAGTTTTTTGAACACTGTTCTGCAAACGTGGACAACATATCTTGTGCCATAGCTGTAAAATGAAAACAACAAACAAACAAAAAAGTTTTCTAGAAACATGGGCCAAATGAACTCCTGCATAATTTCTTCAATCCAAATATCTGCTTATATAAACTTCCTTGTTTATAGGAATTAGACAACATTTAAAACTGTAAATGTATAATGTAAATGTGACTTAAGTGCTTATATACATGTGTGCATAAAGCTGCTACAAATTAAAAAAAAAAAAAAAAAAGTCAGTTCTATTCACAATAGCATGAAATACTTAGTAATGCTAATACAACAGTGTCTTTTATATAATTGCATATAGCATTACTGCTGTTCTTTTAGTGCATTACTTCCTCAGCCTTGCTGTGTTCAGCATCCCCTGCGTGTTGTGAAGAGGTGGTGGGAAAGTTCAGCCTGTGTCCCTTTCAGAGCTCCTCTTTTTTACCACTTCTGAAAGTATGTCCATTCTGACTATTTCATCTGAGTTTTAAATATCATTTGCGCATTACTTCTTGGGACCAAAACCTAATCTCATGACCTAGATGTTAAATTGAAGCCAACTGTTCCCTCGTGCACAAACCTTGGGCAATAAACTCATAAAATCGTGTTACTCACTTATGAATTCAAAATGTGTGTAGAAAGAATTACAGAAACATACTGGGAAGAGTCACATGATGTTCAAATTACTGGTTAGGAATGATCCATAAAAGGGCCCAGAGGGAGTGGCATGCTTTCAAAAATGGCATCAGCTGCTCCTGAGTCATTGACCATTCAAAAACAAATTACTGAGAGCTTACAGACCAGTCAGTGCTCTGGTTAAAAAAAAAAACAAAAAAACTAGTGACCAATCTGGATGTGACACTGTGCCCTTAGTCCACAGTGACAGAGCTCCCAACTCACTTGCCCTTGTAGAGCAGCCCATTCGTTTTGCTACCCAACTACAGCCACACAAACACAAGGCTGAGGAAATGGATCCCTTGATACACCCAATGTAGCACCCAAATTAAAAGCACATAGTGAAAACCTCTTTCAACTTCCAACTTCTGATCCATCCAACTTCTGATCTATTTTACAGAATGTGAAAAAAAATGCATGGGTGACAGTATATGTTGAAAGAACAATAACCTAAACATGGCACAGTGCTTTGAAATGTGAAGAATTATCTCCTTTCCTTTGATATATCCTGGAACAAAATAACATTCATAAAATATTTCTTTTCAGGGCACATGTACTAGATAAAATGTTAAACTTTTGTTTGTTATTGTTCAGACAGTCTCAGAAAAAAAAGCCCTGTAATTAGTTGCTTGACACAAAGTCTCTTGGATTGCTTTGAGAGGAAGCAACATAATGAAATGTTACAAGAACAAGCCAGATCAACCTGCTCTGCTGGCAGCTCTTTGCTGACTCCTGTTTCTCCTTCAGTCCTTCCTGAACTGTGCTGAAATCAAGCTGTCCTGCACGTGCTGCCCAAAACCAAACAGTGCCTCAGTGCCCAGAGCCCTGATTCCTTAATGCAATTGCTGAAAGCCTGAATTGCAGAGGTTGTCAGAAAACTACCAGGCCTAGTGGCACTGCAGCCTGTGTTGGAATACCTGCTATCAGCTTCTCCTATTGATGTGCAACAGGTCACCTCAGTATTATCTCCTTGGCCAGACAACTTTAATGAGCCTCCCTGGTACTTTAACTAACTGCCTGAAAGGAGGTTGTGGCAAGGTGGGTGTCAGACTCTTCTCCCAGGTAACAATGACAGAATGAGAGGGAACAGTCTTAAATAGCACAAGGAGAGGTTCAGGTGGGATATTAGGAAAAATTTCTATACATTTCAAAGTTGTTTTTTAACTTTGGTTTGTCCCCACTTAGAGTATGGACAGTGCTTGTTTTGTGAAGCTTTTCATGTTACAGATCACCCCATTGCATTCAAAGACTTTATGAAGGGGAAGAACATTTTTGGTGATACAGAAAGCAGAAGTTAACATCTGTAGAACTGGAGCTTGATCACTGGGATTAAATTAAATCTGCCTTGAATTGCTGTTAGAAACTTGTATGGTATTTCCCATTAAAATCAGTCTGCTCCTCTCAGTACCATTCTCAACTCCATTTACTGCTGTACTCTGAGATGAAAACACCATCTTTCAGGATGTGGGTAACTACACCATGCTTCCCAACAGGATGCAGAAGCCAGAGAGTGCTCATCTATCTGGTGCCATAAGGCACCCGGTGACACTGCGGCCTTGTTGCTTTCAACATCCCACAGCAGCAATGTTTTCCAAGTACAAACACCTGGCTGCACAGGCTGTGGGTGCTCAGAGCTGTCTGTAACAGCACAGGCAGACAGGCAGCTCTTCAACCCAGCAGCAGGAACTTCTGAGGGCTCCCGTGGGAGCCAGAAACCTGTCCCAGCTATTGAGAATGGGTGTCTTACAAGCTGATGAACTAAAAGCAAAAGAAGTTAGGTGTAGGGCTGTGCATGTGAGTCCAAGAGAAAATCTCAAGACTGAATTTTGTATATAGCCAATCTAGTTATTGTACTAAATGCGCTTGTCCTGCATGCTGAAAATGAGGTGTCATGTGCTCCCCTCTGCATTCCCCTTATGTGTTTGCCTCATAGGCTGGCTGCAGGATTGCACTTTGAATTCTGCTGTGCCATGACCTGCTGCTTATACTGTATGGAAGAGGTGCCCAATCTTTTGGCTTACTTGGGCCACACTGAGTGAACAGAAATTGTCTTGGGACACAAACACAAAGGTTGCTCCAAAAGTAATGCCTCTTGTGTTTCCATGGAACTGCAACTGATTCAAAGAGCACAATAGCACTATTTGATAGAGCAAATTCTCAGCTACAAAACACTTTTTCAACATAGTCACCACCATTAGCTGTGCATTTTCACCAGCAGTGAACAAGAGCGTGCTGCCGCACTCATAAAAATCTGCACCAGTGGACATGACCCACCCTTGCTGTCACTCCTGCTGAAATACACCACCCACCATCTTACTGTGCTCACATCCACTGTTTCATCTCCATAAATGTTCACAAGTGTTGAATGGCAGAGGCTGCCATTTTTTCCACATGGAGGAATTCAGTTCCACACCTTTGCTTCATCTGCCAGTACTTCCATGTCAGATGCCATTTTGTCAGTGCTCCTTCACTGCCATCTGTCAGACAGCAACAACATATAATGGACTGTTGGTGGGAATGTTCAACCTGTACTACCATACCACCAGCATCTGCCTCTAACATTGTGGGCCAAGAAAATAAAACAGCAGGCATTACTTTCACAGCAGCCCTCATAAAATATATACTGTAGTTCATGTACATAGGTAACAAAAATTATTTTAATCTTTAGCATTTTTAATTAAAACAAAACAAAGCAAAAAAGACTAACAAAAACACAGAACTAGTGGGATATGTGACCCTGTTGTTGTGAAACTACCACATCAGTCTAGTTCAACGGCAGCGGCTGCAATTCTTAGTGAGCTCTCAAGGTGCTTGTCAGAGATTTTAGATGAAATTTTACTCCTCCTGTACTTCATCCTTGAAAACAATTGTTCACAAATGTGTGATGACATGAATAACATATGACTGTGAAGCGAGGATACTTTTTCTCTGGTAAGAGAGGGCTTATAAAATTAAAGAGACATGGTCAGATTTTTAAGTAGAGCATCTGATTGGAACTCTATATGGTGCATTAGAAAATTCTCATGTAATGTATTTATGTCCACTGAAGTTGCAAATATACCCCAAAAAAAGATTTTTTGCCGTCTTGAAACCTGTTCTCAAATTCTTTTATCAAAATGGAAAGCAAGACTGCAGAGTGTTTGCTGCTCACAGGGCTGCGTTTAGCCAATGAATGCATAAAATTATTAGCTATAACTTGAGTGGTACTGCACTGTGCCCTCCCTGTGCCCTGGTTCCAGCTCAGACAGCGTTAATAGTGCACTGACTTTTGGCTGCTGCAGGACAGTGGGTGCTTTCCCAGGGTCGGGCCCGCATTGCCTGCTGTATGGTAAAGCAGTGTTGCAGAATGCGTGACCCGGCCACGTGTTGCACTTTAAGGGAATACTATGCAGAACACCCCTAAAA